TATTATACGTCACATAAATATTAATATTAAAAAATAACGTTATTTACAAATAAGTTAAAGTTATTGAGATCTCTTTGATTGGCATTTCTATAACGATCCTAGCAAGATTGCAGTTGACGATTGTGCGTCATCGAATGGCAATTTTTTTTCTTCCTATAATGATATAAAGTCGATCGAATGGAAATTACCGACACAACAAAAAAGATTTTGTAATACTTGATGCGTCAAGTTCGGAGTAGAATATCTATCTCATAACAGAAAGAAATATTTTATCCAATCTACATAAAAATTATTAATAAAATGGTTAATTCCATTAATTATTAATTATATGCGCTTAAATTTTCTAATTTTAATAAATATATTTACATATAAACACACAACACACACACACACACACACACACACACACACACACATGCGCGCGCTTGTATATATAAATATAAATTAATTAAGATATGATTATATAATATTACGAGTAATTTAACGAATTGTAATTTAATATTTATACTGAAGATTTTAATGAAAAATTTCTAGTAATGTAAAATAATACAAAATAAAATTAATTTAAAAAGTTAAGCAACAAACATTTCGATGCAAGTTGAAATTTCATTATTAGATAATGATGATCTATTCACATTTTATTACATAAACATCAAATTTGAATTAATTCGAAGAACAGTCTTTTTTGCAGCAATACTGATGAACTAACTTAACAAATAGATTTCATTTGACAACGACGTAAGCAAGTTCATCAGGAAGAAACGACGACAGGAGAGTCGAAAGAAAGGAAAGCGATCGGACGTAACCTTAGGCAGTCTTTCTTCGCTGGCCTCCTCTTTCGTAATACATCTCTCTTTCTCGCGTAAAGAAATGAGCAAATTACGTGAAAGCAACGGTGTTGCGTAGCATGTAGCTTATTCATCGCTCATATTTTTCGGTTACAGGTTTGATGTAATAACATGTTAACGCAGATTTTGTAACACATAGGTCGCTTCCTTTTCAATTATTCATCGATATAATATATGTTAATACTTTACAATGTCTTTAAAATCTTGAACAAGTATAAAATTTCGTTAAATTTATATTAATCATGTTTTAATTGTTTGCAGTAACTTCATTTATTTTTATTTTCGCACAATAAAGATTTTTGATATATAATCAATCGCGCTAAAAATGTGTATGTGTATGTGTGTGTGTGTGTGTGTGTGTGTATGTGTGTGTGTGTGATATTTATGTATTAGCTTATTAATTAAAAAACTACAGAAATTATTTTCAATTCAATTTGGTGTATAATAGTCTATGTTATTAATTAGATAATTCATTAAATAACAAAATGTATTAAAAATAAATTTTTACGCAAAGAAGTTGTAAGTAAAATTAAGATAGTGCCTTTTTATATTATTATTGTATATTATTCATACACACAACACACACACACACACACACACACACACACACACACACACACACACACACACACACACTGGAGTTATAGCAAAGATGATTGCTACGCTACCGATAAAACTCTTGACAATATGACCTAATTAATTAGTGATATGAAGTAATGATTTCTCAATGAATCGAGAAGTTACGTCTTGCAATTTAGAAATGTGAATGAATCATCAAATTTGTAATTTCTTCAAAAAACAAAATAAATAAGCAAATGCAAAATCTTCTACGAATTTTACAAAAAAGAAGACTAATTGATTTTTATTCCAACAAAAATATTTAATTATCTTTAAAAATAATATCTTAATTTATAAGATCTTATAGAAATAATTAAACAGAACATAAAGATAATACACACACACACACACACACACAAACAGACATATATATATACACATATATATAGATATTTAAATAGCAATAACTTAAGAAAAACTATTATACCGAAAAAATTTCTGTTTAGAAGAATTTCTGTTTAGAATTTCTGGTTAGAATTGAACAAATTAATTAGATTTTGATCATATAAATCAAAATTCCACAGAAGAAAAGATTATTCTTATCAACTATAATATGCTCATATACAAGCAAAAATTTTGTAATCTTGCTTTAAAGATTTTAATCTTGATTTGATTAAATTTGATTGATATAAGATTTTTGATTGAACAAGTCTTGAACTAAGTACAAAGTAATACTTGCATTAATATAAATTCAATCAAATTAAGTTAACTAAAATCTTCAAAATAAAATTACAATATTTTTGCTTATGTGAGCATATTATGGTATTTAAGAATATCCTTTTTTCTGCGATCATCATGATTGGATATAATCCAAATCCACTAGTATGTTCATTTTATCAACCAGAAATTTTTCTCAATGACAAATGTATCATATTTTTAAATTACAGTTGAAATAATTGTTTATACATGTAGCATATGATTGACTTACATCGGTGTCTCGTAAATTGTTAATGATATCGTGATAGACACTCTCACTAATCTGACCGGTCCTGCTAGAGCAAGAGACTTTGAACTCGCGCGGATATGTTTTACAGTAGATTGCATAGAATTATAATTTATCATTTGACAATTGAAGAAATATAAAATTATACAATTGTCAAAGAAGAAATATTAGACTTATTTTAACTCTATGCTCAGTACTAAAAATAAACAGAAGAAAGAGAAATTATTGGATGAAGGAATCAATTGGAAATATATGATCCTACCTCTCTTTTAAATGTAGAAATGGAGAGTGTGAACACACCAAGCACACTGATGGAGATGAAAACACGAAGACAACCATTCCGGACGCAAATATCGACCTTGGACACGAGACGGAGACAGGCTGTTTGCGTAAGAAGAGCTTTCAAGAAATATGGATCCAAAAACAATCCCCAAATCGTTCTCGATGGACTCAATATGACCGTGCCGAAGGGCACAATGCAAGTATCTTTGTGTATCAACATCTTAATAATGAATCATCAATAATAATAAGTAATTAATAAATAATTTATATGAAGAGAATTCAACTTATGCATACAGAAAGGTCTCAAATCTTTTATTAATTAGTATAAATTATGGGATAAAGAGAGTTCAAAAATAATAGAGTTTTTAAATAATAAAAATTGTAGTTGTTAATTTTAGTTGTTATTATTAAATAAATAATTTATAGCGATATAAAATTGTTTACTTTCTTTCTGATTTATTTAATATTTAATAAATGCTTTATTATATATATGCGATAGTTATGGGCTACTTGGTGCGAGCGGTTGCGGAAAAACCACTTTACTGTCGTGTATCGTTGGTCGGAGACGTTTGAATTCTGGCGAAATATGGGTGTTAGGAGGCCGACCAGGTTCTAAAGGATCCGGTGTGCCCGGTCCTCGGGTCGGTTACATGCCACAGGAGATTGCGCTTTACGGCGAGTTCTCCATTCGGGAAACATTTATTTATTTCGGCTGGTGCGCCGGTATGACGACAGAAGAAGTAGACGAAAAGCTGATTTTTCTGCTCAAGGTAAAAAATTTCCATGAATCATGGAAAGTCGGAATTTCGAAAGGAAGTTCTAAAGAAGTAAAACTTCCAGTTCTTTTTAAATATCTTTCTAAATATTTAGTTTTTTTCTCTCAAAATTTAAAGAAAAGAAAATATCTTCGTCACAGATGTATCGGAGCACAGTATTATTTTCTGATTTTATTTACTTATATAATTCTCTGCATTCTCTGATTACAGTTTTTACAACTACCGTCCGAAAATCGTTTTGTTAAGAATCTCTCAGGCGGCCAGCAAAGGAGAGTATCCTTCGCGGCTGCTATTTTAGCTGAGCCTGAACTCTTGATTCTGGATGAACCGACAGTCGGAGTAGATCCCATTCTTCGTCAAAGTATCTGGGACCATTTGGTGCACCTCACCAAGGATGGCAACAAGACCATTATCATTACCACGCACTACATCGAAGAAACTAGGTAAGTTGCTATATAGTTATTATATTTAGTAATGTTACGTCTAATATCATATTTATTACACTTTATTATATTAGTATTTTATACATTCGATACTTTCACTTCATGACTTTCACTTCACAAACTAAATCAAACCTTGCTTTATTAGATGTACAAGAAACATTATAAATTGAATCAGTTAATATTCTCGTAACTAGAATAAGAAAACAAAAAATTAATTAAAATGTTTTGATGTAATTAAAATTTCTCCATCAATTGTGTTTATTGAAAAAAAAATAATGTTGCAGTTATTGCAAAAAATTATCTAGTTACGAAAAATTAACTAAAATGGATAAATATCTAGGAAGCACTGCAATATTGGATATGTTTTATATCTAATCAATATAGATGACAAAGATAGAATTTATATCTGAATCATTTACCAATCAAGAA